AGAGAGAGAGAGAGAGAGAGAGAGAGAGGCTTTCTTGCATGCTTGCTAAATACCTTCTGAAATGGATCTTTATGTGTAAGGACTACAGCCAATTAATTTAACAAAACTAATAAAAGTGGCAGCATCATTTCATTCAGTTTGTAACTAAAGCAACTGTGCCCCTATCAGTGTGTTCATACAAAATAAAAGCTGCGGTATTCTATAAAGTCCATGTACTGACTTTTTAGAAACATTAAGAAGAGTGGCGTGCAGCAGTAGTTTTAGAGTGTTCCTTGGTGACCGCTCGGCAGTCATTCTTGGGACGTTTGTGCCAACAACTGTGTTTCGAAGTCAGATCTCTGCTCAGGTTCTTGATCTCTTGCCCATTTCTCGCTTCCTCAGTCTAGACCTTCAGGTTTAATGAACTCAAACTTTTGGTTCATCTTTTTAACTTCAGAGCTGATGGATCTTGCTGTTTGCTGGGGAGGGGGAAGTCGACTCTTGTTCATAATTAGTGTACTCAACATTGTAGGGATGAAACAAGCAAGCACAAAGTGATTTCAATCCAAAAGGCAGAGGGGAGTAAAAGGTATGAAGTAACAAACTAATGACAGAGAGACAGAAGAGCTCATAAGAGAAAGGGAGGAGCTGGGCAAGCGTCTTCAAGAGCCGCAGAAGAAACTAGGCCATTTCCTACATGATGGTTCCTCCTAATCTTTGATTTTGAATGCTTTTTGGAATTTATATCCTGATTTAAGAAAATTTCTTAGTTTTAATTAATGCAAAATAAGGAAGATTAATGTTTATTGCTTGTATGGCATAAATAGCACAATTGGACTATTTAGATATTGATTATTAATCTTGAATCTTGGCTCAAAACATTTTATTTTACCCACAATCATAGATATTTATGTCTTTTTCTGGCCTTTACTTTCCTATATCTGGTTATGTCTCTTATTTATTGCAGAATTCCAACGCAAATTATTCTATTTAGATCTAGCATACTTACTAGACTATAACATTTCTAATAAGTTATAAAATGAAACTTCAGTTTTCATCACCTTTCATAAACTGAATGAAAAGTTTGGAGGGGATATAATTTTGTATGTGCTATTACTCTGGGCATTGAGAGAGGCAGTGGTCACATAGCTCAGAAACTGTGTTCTTTGTTATGAAATAACACTTCACCTACTAAAGGAAATGATATATGTGCATACCACATACATATGTTTATATAACATAAATATTATGTTTTATACCTTTGAAGTGATGCATACACTTTTTTCTCCAAACTTGTTTATAAAAGTGGATTAGAACATTGTTCTGAAACAATGTTGACTTCAGTGAGTGCTTCATTTTTCTCTCTTTTCTTTTCTTTTCTTTTCTTTTCTTTTCTTTTCTTTTCTTTTTTCTCTCCTCTTTTCCTCTCTTCTCCCTAACCTTTCCCTCC